GGATGAACTCGGCGAGTTGCTCATACAACTCGGCGAGTCTCAGGCTGGATATATTCATAGGATGAAGGTGAACTCGAAGAGTTGTTCATACAACTCGGCGAGTCGGATGAAGACAGTCCTGATGGTTTGAATGAAGGAGAACTCGACGAGTTCTCGCAAGGCTCGACGAGTAGTGACGGGGTTGGATCGGGTTATTGGAGCATGGACTCGACGAGTTGGTAGACCAACTCGGCGAGTCAGGTCAACTGGGCATTGACTTTGACCGATGTTGACTTGCCTGGTTTTGGTATTGACCCTGGTTGGGTTGTATGTTCGGTTTGATGACTTGAAGGTTGTCGTGTAGGGATTTAGGAGACGAGGAGGGCCGGCCCTCGCGCTGAGGACATTTTAGACACTACACGACATCGAGGTGAGTTACCTTCTAGTAGGGGTGGGTCTACGGCCACAATGCCGGCCCATCAATAGGAGTTGTTAGATGATTGTCTTTGTGATAATTATATATGTTTGCTACTACCTGTTATGTTTATGTGCTAGCATGATATGTTATATGTGATAATGGTAGTAGGAGGGGAATGGTCCCCGTAACCGGTTGAGATAAACCGGAAGGGGTAGGTCGGACACCCCGGTATGTCTGACAGGGGTAGGTTAGGCACCCCGGTATGCCTAGCAGGGGTAGGTTGAGCACCCCGGTATACTCAGCAGGGTAGGTCGGGCACCCAGATATGCCTGACATGGGGTAAGTTGGGCACCCCGGTATGCCCGACAGTATGTGTTACGTAGGGTATGTGGTATGATGGGGGAACTCACTAAGCTTTGTGCTTACGATTTATAATTTTGGTTTCACCTACCTCTTCAGCGAATGGGAAGGAGCCGGCGCGGTAGCGGCACATCACACACACACACTGGATTCCGCACTATGAGACTCCTGGAGATTGTACTCTAATTTTCATTACTTTTGGTGATTTGGTTTTGAGATACGATACTATGGTTTTGTGGATTGATGTAACAATGGCGATGTTTTGGTTAACTATTTTATAAACTACTTAATTAAAATGAAATTTTTGGCCTTGAAAATTGGGATGTTACAGATGTTTCGGAATTTGTCCCCAAAACAAAATATGATAAAAATTTTATCAAAGCATTTCTTAAAGAAATGTATTTTCATTATATAACAAAACCTCGAGATGTCATGTTCCCATACAGACTAAAAGCATAAACTGTACATTATAAGCTTTACAACAGATATTTATATCTACTGGCCTATAATCCAAAGTCCCTCGTCATCATCCAATTATGCTCTCGTTCCACTACCTGTAATATAAAAAGTTGAGTGGGTCAGGCTTGGGAGTCTGGTGAGCATATAGGGTTTTCAACCCACAATAAATAAATTTATTAATTTTCATTAATCAACAATAAATTTATTAATTTCATCAACCAACAATAACCCTGATTATACGTTCCCGCTATCCTTACTCTACGTCCCTAAACACCTATCATAAGGGACCTAGCCTAAGGATCATCATCGGGGTAACAACACTGCTTAAGGAATACTTCTGCAGTTTCTTAAGGTTCCACCCTAAGAATCCTCACAACGACACGATCTATACTCTCAGATCTAAAATCAACCTTTTTACCTAATCCATACTCACGGATCAATAACTGTGCCCATTCCATACTCTCGGGCTAGGGACAATTAACTATGTCTTAATCCATACTCCCGGATTAATAATAAATAACTATTGTCTTAATCCATATCCCGGATTAATAACAAAAAATTATGTCTTAATCCATACTCCCGGATTAATAACAAATAACTATGTCTTAATCCATACTCCCAGATTAATAACAAATAACTATTTCTTAATCCACACTCCCGGATTAATAACAAATAACCATGTCTTAATCCATACTCTCGAAAAACATCTACAGTTTACGAGCCTGTTAATATTCCACTGGATTGTCTAGAAAAGTTTGTGGTCGTCATCTATACTCTGCTAGATGACTGAAACAATAACAATATCGAGGCCTCTCATCTTTTTAACACACATCAACTATTTCATCTACCCATGTTAGACCAAACATATTTGTAGATAAAAATACATATACAGTTTAAAAACTTGTATAAAACATCTATTCAACACCCATCTCAAATAAACAATCAATATAATTACACATAACACATATTTTATTGAAAATATTTCATATCTATATGTAAGATAACACATATTTTATTGAAAATATTTCATATCTATGTGTAAGATGAAAGTGACTACACACTCACCTGATAAATCTGTGATTGGACAACACTTCGTCCCTCAAAATAATCTTTTTCGATAAAACCGGGGTGTTTTCTCAAAAACCGGGCTTCATGCGGGCAGAGTTTCGGCTCGAAAACTCTTTTTCTCGGGATCTTCGGGCTCTCCGGGACTTGCTTATGATACTAGGATGATATAATAGGTTTGGGGGGTATTTATTGTAACAAAAAGGAAAGTAGAAGGTGAGAGGAGTGACTTTTGTAAACAAAAATACGGCTGGCTTCGATCACTATTTATAAGGGCTGAAAACTCGAGTTGGTCTCTCATGCGAAGGAGTAGGGAGGGTGACGGACTCCGGAACACTTACACGAGTACGTTGGGCGTACTCCGAATTTTCAAACTTCAAAAATTCGTAACTTTCGCATACGAGCTCCGTTTTTGACGTTCTTTATATCCACGCGTAGGTGAGACCGTGCTCTACAACTTTTGTTTAGACTCCGTCGGCTAATTTTGACTTTATTTTTAAAGTTATATTTTTAACAGGCCGGGACAGGAAAAGTCTGTTAAAAATTCATAACTTCTTCATCCGACGTCCGTTTTCGTCTGTCTTTTTACCGTTGAACTACTATCAACAAGATCTTCGATTCTCATTTCGGTTGTTTCGGCTAAAAATCACTCGATCTAAAATTCGAGTTTCGGGCTGCATAATGCTAAGCCGAAACTTAGAAAAATCATAACTTCCTCATACGAAGTCAGATTTGGGCGTTCTTTTTATGCACGCTCTCGGTTTAACGAACACTACGACTTTCTTTTAGATCACTAATGCTAAAAAGCACTTTATCGTAAATTCACTTTTTACGTCACATAGCGTCGTGTCGGTTATGTCGCGAAACTTCGACAGGTCATAACTTTTTCGTTATAACTCGGATTTCGGTATTCTTTATATCTCCGAGATCCTTGTTTCAACCACTACAACTTTCTTCATAGATATCAGGTTTATCTAACATTTATTTTCGACACTTATTTTTATCCTTAATTTATTAAATCATAATAATTAAGTATAAAGCACATAATTTATTCTTATTACTTCAAAACACGTTACAATAGTTGACCTAGACTATTACATCGTCTTTAATGTTTAGCCCAGAAATACGGGCGTTACAATATACAAAAAAAAATGGTTTTTAAATATGAAAAAAATATTTATACAGTTTCAAATGTAATTTTTTTACGGCTTCAAATAAAAAATAGTCAACATTGAAATAAATTGGAAAAATTGATGATTGGTTTGGAACAAAAAAATGAAGTGTCAATATTGAAAAAAAAATGAAATCTAATATCAAAATTGAAAAAAGTGTAAACATAGTGTATTTTGTGTCATTTTTTTCAAATTTGACACGTCATCATGCCACGTTAGCGCCACATAACCAAATGATGACATGTCAGCATGACACGTGACCAAAGACAGACACATAATCATGCGACGTCACCAAAGATTAACACATAATTATGCCACGTCAGCGGATAACTGGGTTGACCGATCAAGAGGTCAACATTGCAAAAATTAAAAAATTAGTAACTAAATTATAACAAAAAATAACACAGTACCAAAAATCGATTTTTTTGTAAAAATATGATGACTTCTGTGATATTTACCCTTTTAGTATAATGATTAAAAAATGACTATATTTGTCATTTTTTCAAATGATATATATACACTAAAGTCCCATTATTTTCAACGATTTGACAAAAAAAGTTGTAAACTTTTTTTTTTTTTTACAGTAAAGTCCTAATTCACGATTTGACAAAAAGTTCTAAACTTTATTTTTTTGACAGTAAAGTCCTAACTACCAAAAAAATAAAGTTTAGGACTTTTTTGTCAAATCATTGAAAATATTGGGACTTTAGTGTATATATTCCTTTGTTTTGTTAGAAATTTAATGGTATAGTCTTTATGCATAAGAGTTATTGGAATCTGCTCTGTGGTCAGCTAGATTCCATTGAAATCCTTAACGTTTTTTTAATGGTATAGTCTTTATATAGTTTTTTTTAATCTCAACAAACCGACATTGAAAAAAATGGAGATAATCAAGAAAGAAAGAAAGAATCAGGGTTGTGTTGGCTTTTTGCAGCCCTAAAAATGGAGAACTAAGAAACCGAAAAAGACGAAACTGCCCTTCTTACCCATTTTCCACATTCACACCCTTTTGACTAGGCGTTTGTTGTTTGTGTTTGTACAATCTCTCACCTTTTTTTCAGTTCAAGATTTGGCGGTGAACCATGAAGAAAGCTTTACAAGTTTTTTCACTTTCTCTCGCTCTTTCTCTTTTGCATCTGTTTCTCCTTATCGTGATTGTAACAGGGTAAAGATGATGATTGTAAGAAAAACAGTAGTGGTGCGACGAAAATCACAATTAAATGTTCTTGAGCTACGAATTAGGTCTCACGAGGCTGATAAAATTATTTGTTTCTAGGGAAACCAAGACTATACACTAAAGTCTCAATATTTTCAACGATTTGACAAGAAAGTTCCAAACTTTATTTTTTTGACAGTAAAGTCCTAATTACTGGCTAATCGACAAAAAATGGTAAGCATGTCAAAAACTGCCGGTAGTTAGGATTTTACTGTCAAAAAAATAAAGTTTAGGATTTTTTTATCAAATCGTTAAAAATATTGGGACTTTAATGTATATATATCCCTTTTCTCAAAAATATAAGTCAAATACTTACGATAACAATTGATTAGGGTCAATGTGGATTATGGATTATCTGACATGTTCACTAATTACAACATGAATGAACTATTTCATATTCATTTCGGTATCAGCGCACATGTTCATTGAGTGCTCCTTGGTTGAAGTTGATTCCTGGTGGCAGGTTAGCTAAGAACACTGTTCAGGAGTCAAACTAACACTAACAATTGATTATTATAAGGTTAACTAGGCTTATTTGACGTATTCACTGGTTACAAATTTACCAACTATGTCGGAATCATAATATGACCTGCTTAAGAAACCTTCTCAGTATAGTGTGAACCATCTTTAGAGGTCATAAAACACATCAAAATCCATTTACTTCAACACTTGTGATCTTCCAAGTAAAGGTTTCACTGAGTTTTAGTCAAGCATATGGTTATTAGAATTAGGCTTTTGAAGATTAACCAACGAGTAGTAAGCTCCGGTCGGCCCTTTCGCTAGCAATGAACTATGATTCCCTTTCTCGACCACCTTCCCTTCTTCCAAAACCGCGATCGTATTACAGCTTTGTATGGTACTCAAGCGGTGGGCCACCACCACACTAGTCCTCCCCACCATCATTCTCTCCAATGCATCTTGCACTACTTTCTCTGATTGACTATCTAATGCACTTGTAGCTTCGTCAAGTAACAAAATTGATGGGTTTTTCACTATGGCACGCGCTATAGCAACACGTTGTTTTTGTCCTCCAGAGAGCTGTACCCCTCGATCGCCACACGCCGTATTGTACCCGTCTTTCAAAACTGCTATGAAATCATGAACATTGGCTGCTTTGGCAGCCTCCATGATCTCTGATTCACCGACTTCCCCGAAAGCCCCGTATATGATGTTTTCACGTATGGTACCAGCAAATAACACGGGCTCTTGGCTCACAAGTGCGATATATTTCCTCAAAGCTCTCAAATGGTATGACCTTATATCTCTTCCATCGACTTTCACAACCCCTTTCATTGGGTCGTAAAAACGTTCGATAAGCCCGATAATGGTTGATTTCCCGGACCCACTTTGTCCCACCAATGCAGTTGATTTCCCGGCTTCAATATCAATTGAGAATCCTTTAAAGATCATGACGTCAGGCCGAGCAGGGTACGCGAAATCCACATCGCATATCTCTACGTGGCCTGTAATGATATCGGGCTTTTTACCAGCAGCGTCCTCGGGCTCTATCAAGGTGTGACGGTCCAAAACCGAGAACACAGACTGCACTGCATCAGACCCTTTGGCTAAATCATTTGTCATGGTCCCTGCATCCGCAATGGTCCTGCCAATACCTACTATGATCATAAAGGTCTGGAAAAATGCTTTTGCACCAAGATGACCATCCCTAATCAACTTCCCACCATACCAGTAGTCTAGAGCCCAGGTACAAACGATAAGGCTCTGAGATAGCCCCAACCCCAATCCAGCATACCAAGCTTGTCGCCTACTTTCACGTATTGGTGCTTTTTGGGTCTCTTGGAGCATTTTCAGGATTCGTGTTTGAGATGAAAAGGAAGTGACAGTACGGAGATTCGAGACAGCTTCAGCCGCGAGCCTGCTGCTTTCTCCTTGTGATTTCATGGATTTTTGCGACATGCTCTTTAACAAAAATCGTCTGCAATAGAAGCAGATAATTATAATTGGCTGAACCGCAATCATAACCAATGCCAATCTCCACGCGATCACTAACCCCATCGTGCAACCAATTGTCACCGTGGAGAAAGCTTGAATAAGAAGAACACATCGATCACCTACCAGCGACCGCACCTGCAAAATCATTGTTGACATATATATATATATATATATATATATATATATATATATATATATATTATTGTCATTTACCCTATAAAACAAATATTGTTCTTATACATAAAATGTTTATTTGTTTGTAAAGCAAAACCAAGTAAACGTAAAATCCATACCACATTGGCATCTGTAGTGAGCCTTGAACAAATGGCTCCGGTTGAATTTCCATCCTTATCGAACCACCCAATTTCAAAGGTGAGTATCTTTGACAAAATTCTTTCCCGGATCCTCTTGGTCAAGTATTCACCCATGGCTGCAAAATTGTAATGCTGAATGATGTTTATTACCATAAAGAACACTGCCAAACCAGCAAAACACAATGCATAAAGCATTGTTTTTTGCCTGATCTCATTGTGATCTGACGAGAAATACACAGATACTATTGACCCCATTGCGAAAGCATAAAGGGGTTGAATCGATCCAAACAGAATTGCACTCACACTCCCTAACAATGCTTGCTTCCATTCAGGAATATTCATTACTAAAAGCCTCTTAAATGATGGCACTGGAGATCCTTCATCTCCCTGTAAGGTAAAGTTCTGGTTTCCACCTCGATTAACTGAGTTTGACCGGCTCACCATAGACTGCTGATGACCGCTTGTTTTGTGGATGTTGAATATTGAGGAAACTGATAAAGGTCCACGTTGGTAAGTATCCTGGAGGCGAACGAGGGATGTATAGAAACCATCTTCAATTTGAATGAGGTCATCGTGGGACCCGGACTCCACCACTCGGCCCTCCTGAACCACCACTATCACGTCGGCATTTCTGATTGTGGAGAGGCGGTGAGCTATGACAATGGTGGTCCGACCAACCACCACTTGATCAAGTGCCTCTTGAACAACCCGTTCTGATTCCGTGTCGAGTGCACTTGTTGCCTCGTCTAAAAGAAGGATACGTGGGGACTTGATTATTGCACGTGCAATTGCGATTCTTTGTTTTTGTCCACCTGACATCTGAACTCCCCTTTCACCAACCTATTATTGATTTATTATTGGAGAGAAGGTATAATTATATGTTAGAGCCGACAATGATAGATAAGTAAAATTCATTAGAATAACTTATAATAATATTTGGAAGTCGTGACACAGTTTGTGTCAAGTTTCCCCCAACAACCCATGTTCCCCTTTTTGATTAATTTAATTAGCGACTCTTTCTAACGCACAATCCATTTACATTATTACAACGGTATTTGATTATTGATAGTAGTAAAAGATGTTTGTTGTATTGATACCAAAAAAATAGAAAGCTAGAAAAAAAAACCTGAGTGTCATAAGCCTGAGGCAACTGAGAGATGAAGTTATGAGCATTTGAAGCTTTGGCAGCTTCAATCACTTCATCCATGGCGGCATCTTCCTTGCCGAATAGTATATTCTCTCTTACTGTCATCGAGAATAGAGCAGGCTCCTGACTCACCAAACCCATCTGCGATCTTAACCATTTTAGTTGAAGCTTATCAATCTTTACCCCGTCAACACAAATCTCTCCTCCTTGAGGATCATAAAACCTCTGCAACAACGCAATCACAGTCGATTTACCAGATCCACTCCCACCTACCAACGCCACCGTCTTCCCTGCCGGAACTTTTAAGTTAAAGTCTTTGAATATCACCGATTCCGGCCTTGATGGGTACGCAAACTTTACGTTCTTGAAGTCCACTTCCCCGTATACTTCTTGTAATATCTGACCTTCCATGTTGTCTGAATCAATCTCCGGAACTATTTTGATCACTTCTCTTATACGTTCGCTGGCAGCCATCGCATCGGAAAAGTACTTCACGTTCAACCATCCAGAACCCAATGCTCTGTCGTTTACAACAATGTAAATAGACGATTGTTTGACCTATAAATTGAAAAAAAAGGTGGTTGTCGTGTTTCCTTCATTTTTTTTTTGTAAACCTTCGTAATGAAAATTTTTCGTCTTCCTAAATCCGTAACCCAATCGACTGATCGAGCATATGCAGAATGCAGACTAGCCGTTCGATGAAATGCCAGAATGAAAACAAACTTACAGTCCACCGCTGACGAGGGCAGCTCCAACAGCAAACACAGTTCCTCCGCTAGCTCCATGGTACATCACCATCCTACTACCATACCAACACAAGAAAGACCAGACGCCATAACCAAGACCATTGCAGCCAATTGTTATTCCTTTAGCCAAACCCTGCTTTAACCCTAACTTCACCGAGCCCTGAAGAGCAGCTGAGTACTTGGTTAACGTCTTGTTTTCACCAACAAATGAATAAACAGTCCTCACGGAAGAAATCGCCTGTTCCGCCACCATACCAGCCTTATTATGCTCCTCTCTCATCTTTCTTGATAAATTCATCAGAACCCTTCCATAAATCAGACCAGGTATAACTAAAATTATAACAAATGGAAACCCAACTATCGCCAGCCTCCATTGTAATATAAATGCTACAACATATGACCCACAAAAAGTTGACATATTCATCAAGAACACCGGCACCTGCATTTATGAGTTACCATTTTTGTTTTCACATAAAAACTAAAAAGTCAAACCTTTTCGAGACAGACGTACCTTTTCGCTGATGACTTCTTGAATTACGAGACTATCACTGGAAACACTTGTAATGATCTCTGCTGTGCTTGTAACATTCAAGTCGAAATACGCCACTTCTTGCCTTAAAACTGCTTTCAAATAATCCGACCTCAATCTTGATGCTTGCCTCTCTGCTGTTCTTGTCCAGCAATACCCCTCTGCAAAAAAAAAAAAAAACACATTTATTTCTAAATTTCTTAAGAAAAAAAAAATGAAAAACTGAGCAAGAACCTACCAAAAAAACATACAAACCAAATTCCAGTAGCCATGTAACAAAGATATACAGTATTCTGTAAACAATAAAGTAAAAACCAACCCGATTAGATTTCTTCACCAAAAATTAATTTAAACTTGATTTATACATATATAGATGTGTGGAGGTGTATCGGTGTATGTATTATTGACCTCGCTGATTTTGTCTGTGAATATACCATCGGATAAAGAGGAAGAGTCTCCAATATTGTTCATGATGCTGCTGGTGACAAGTAATATAGTCGGCATTAAAATTCCATCGCCGACTGCACCAAAAATCCCAAGGGTCATCAGAAACATGTCGACACCATCGGCATGCATGAAAATCGATCGGAATGATCCACTGCTGCTGACTTTCCTGTTTGTCTCTGTGCTCTGTTTACTCATATTGACAAATAAGTGAAATTAGAAGTAAATTTGCTGTTAAAAGAAAAAATCATAGACAGAGGACAAATTTGGGGGGGGGGGGGGTTAAGATATGGGGAATCTTAAACAAATCCTATAAAATGTTAAACAACTTATATTGACTCATTTGTTTTTATTAACAACATGGAATAAAAGATTAATTTGTATCTTGTTTTATATAGGTAATTATTATTTTATAGAGCTATTCAAAAAATTATGGGAGCTTATATATTTTTTAAAGACCATATATATATATATATATATATATATATATATATATATATATATATATATATATATATATATATATATATATATATATTTCATTTATAAAAAATAACCACCTACCTCGCTAAATGGTTCACGAATTCTCTAGTAGGCATGACCTGCATGACATATTTATTTTTTCTGGCATACTACTTCGCGAATCCCTATTATAATAAAAGACTCATTTTTTGTCAATGTGGCATTTTCTCAGCTCAAAATTTTGCAAAATGAAATACTGATTTTACCCTTTAATGAGAAATCAATTAGCGGATCACATCTTTAATTCCTTAAAATCAACATCAAATGGTTTAAATGATATAATAACTGTGCCCAAGAATTCAGGAATGTAATTCAAATTCAGTTTCCAATTTTGAAATGACAAATTAAAATGCAATTCGCCAATATATAAGATTGAAATCTTCTTTGATATACCCGCCTTAAATTCGTGGATTCAAGTTTTGTAATCTTAATTCCTCATCTCCGTTTTCCTATAAAACACTTTTTCTCCTCTCAATCACCCATAATATGGATTTAAGATGTAGATATTTGAATCGCCCTTGATATTGCTGATTGATTCACTCATATTCTATGAATGATGTTGTTGCAACTTCTAAAAAGGATGATCAGTGTGATAGTCATAATAAAAAAAGATGTTATTTGAAGGCGTCATTCAATTTGGAAAAACATATAAACCAATTCCTAAAATAGGGGTAATTCATTGTTCTCCGTCTCTTTATTTTGTAGTCAAATCTTATATTTTGCTTGATATTTACTATTTAGTAAGTTATAGGTTTTTTGTTGTTAAATTCAGTCTCGTGGCTTTGCTTTCTCGTGGAGTGTATTACCCTTCCTTTTCTTTTTGGCAAAGAACACACTCACATTTATCCATCTGAAAGACTATCATTGCCACCGTTCGCTGCAACTACTGACTTTTGAAGATGCAGAGCTCAACCTAAGTTAAGCTCATTTTAGCTAAGGATTTCGATTCAGGCTAGATCGAGCAAGGTTATGTTGTTGATTTCGTTCCATATTTTCTACTTCAGTTGATACTAATGTCTAAGGTTAAAACATTGGTTTGATCTTTCTTTTTCTACTGCAGCTCGACGGAATACGTAGTTACTACATCGCCTGAACTCGTAATTCATCACCTACAGGTTATGAGCTTGCCAGTGTTTCCACATGACTTGTTTAGATTAGTTAGTGGTTGCCATCTATACTCTGGTAGATGACTACATCGCAACATCGCAGATCAAGGTTATGGCATCTCCTAATCATCTCTTATCTCGCATCACCTATTCATCATCGCATATCTATCATCACTTAGTTATCATCACCTATTTCTTATCACCCGTCACTGCCCAATACATATTTGTAAGTATATAATACTTATATGATTAAATCAGTTAAAAATCATCACATAATATCTTATCTAGCACATAATATTCACGACATAGATGATAAGTCCATAAGCATGTAATTATCCAGATATTTCATATCTATGTGTAATCTGAAAGTAACTATGCACTCACTTGTTAGAGCGGCGAATTGAAATTCTGCCAGTGTTTCCACATGACTTGTTTAGATTAGTCAGTGGTTGCCATCTATACTCTGGAATAGTGACCGGTCCTACCACACTTATAGCAAGTCACTTCTCCATCACATCTTTCGAAGTGCTTCTTCTTGCACTTCTCACAACACTTGACTCCACTACTACTTCCATACTTTTGGTCGTCCAGGTTGGACTTCGTGAATCTTCCTTTCCTATTAGATCTTGAGGATACCTCAATCTTCCTCTTTTCTCCCGTCTTATCTTTTTCTAGACCCTTTTCTCTTATCTGGGTCTCTACATTCTTAGCTGCTCTAACGGATGTCTTCAAAGTAGTTGCCATTTTGACCGTTGGGCCAAAGTCTGTTGGCAATCCATTAGCAAACCTATCTACCTTGTAGAGTTCAGTAGGCACTAAGTAGGAGAATAGCTTCATCCTCTCGGTGAATGCGGTGACATACTCATCAACACTCATCTTCCCTTTCTTCAGATTCTGAAACTCGTTGTTTAGGTCTATCAGATCTATCTCTGAGCAGTATTGCATTTTCAACTGCTCCATGAATGCTTCCCAAGACATCTGCATGGCTTCTCCCCGTGGCATTGTATCTGCTAACAACTTCCACCAACTTAAAACTCTGGTCTTTAGTTGTCTGACTGCAAAGACGGTTTTCTGCTTGTTGCTGTAATTGCAGCTCTAACATAAATCATAGCCCGAATCATTGCTTGGACTCATACCATCGTAATTGGCTCGGGTGCAGCTGCACGCTCAATCACTGGTGGTTCAGGCTGTTGGTTCCCATTAGCATTTCCTAATCCGCTGCGAGTTCTCACCATTTCGATCTCTACACTCTCACAAATGTTCAGTGTACATCGACGAGAACTAAGATAGGAAAGCTTCATGTACGAGAGACGTATAAATCTCCTTATCATTTCGAAAAGTTACATGCCAGTTCTAATACCGTAATTTAAACGTTTAGAAATCTGAACACATAAAGTTTCTAGATCCGATCAACAACAGACTATAGATTCGATCAAATAATAACATATAAGGCATCTTTATAGCTATAACATAAATCATTTAGCACATAAAAGCATTTTAGGCATCTTTCTTAAAATAAGCTAGTACTCGTGTCTATTCAGGCATACAACCTAAATATAACAAACACTCATCTCACAATCATCGCTTAGCATTCTAAGTTTAAGTCTAGAAATTTCCTACAAATTCCTAGTTCGCTTAAACTAATGCTCTGATACCAACTGTGACATCCCTAAATTCACGGTCATTTTAAAAATTTCTTTATGCTTATTTTAAAATCATAGTATTCTTTTTGAAGAATAATATTGCGGAATTTGTTCCCAGAAAACATGATAAATATATTATCAAAGCATTTCCGAAGAAATGTATTTTGTTTATATTAAAACTTTGGGATGTCATTGTCAATACAGAAACATAAGCATAAACAGACCTTACATTCATTTACACTAATGATTTACATCTCCTTTAATCTTTTAGTGTAATGTGTCTTCGTATCGATACTTGTGATACAAATAAACTGATTGGGTCAGGTTGGGAAACCTGGCGAGTACATAGGGTTTTCAACCCACAATAATATAGTTAATTTGTTTCTTCACATACTTCATGCCAAAAAATTAACCCTATTATCTGTATTTATTCTTCCTTAAGGGTCATCTCCTATATCGTTTTTACCTCTCATCGCCTTACATCACATTTCCTTATATGTTTGTTCCTAAGGACTTTTCCTAAGGATCATCGCCTATATCGCATAAACAATACTGATTTGGGGATTACTCCCCCAATACGTGTCCGATGAGGGTTAGAGTATCATCGCATGAATACGTAGTTACTACATCGCCTGAACTTGTAATTCATCACCTACAGGTTATGAGTCTGCCAGTGTTTCCACATGACTTGTTTAGATTAGTCAGTGGTTGCCATCTATACTCTTACATCGCAGGTCAAGTTATGACAGCTCTTAATCATATCTTATCTCGCATCACCTATTCATCATCACATATCTATCATCACCTAGTTATCATCACCTTTCTATCATCACCTATCTCTCGTCACCCGTCACTACCCAATACATATTTGTAAGTATATAATACTTATATGATTAAATCAGTTAAACATCATCACATAATATTTTATCTAACACATAATATTCACGACATAGATAATAAGCACATAAGCATGTAATTATCGAGATACTTCATATCTATGTGTAATCTGAAAGTAACTATGCACTTACTTGTTAAAGTGACGACTTCATTCTCGGGCAGCGCTTCGCTTCTAACAATTTTATTTCCTTCGACGAAACCTAGTATCATTATTACTAGATTTTAGTCTAATATTTATTGCGACTAATTATTAATTACGAGCAATATTGTTTTATATGTGTAAAACAATTCTTTTCAACTACTATGTACAGACAGGGGCCAAACATGAAACACCGGAGGGCAGGACCATTTTGGCATTTAAGCTGTTCTAAAATCCAACAACCCTATGCGACCCTTCAAACCAGATTCCCCGTACCACGAGCAGTTAAAATGTATTATAATAACAATCTGTGTATTTTATATTGTTTATAGGTTCATAATAACGATAATGAACTTAAACATAATGTGACATCCCCAAAATCACGGCCAGAAAATACCGGTTTCATTTATGCTTTTAAATAAAATCATAGTAAATCCTTTGATTAAAAGAGTTGCAGAATTTGTTCCCAAAACAAAATATGATAAGAATTTATCAAAGCATTTCATAAAGAAATGTATTTTCATTATATAACAAAACCTCGGGATGTCATGTTCCGATACAGACCAAAAGCATAAACAATACGAAATAGACCTTACAACAGTTACATATAACTACTGGTCTATAATCCAAAAATATCTTGACAATGTCATCGAACTTATGCCCTCGCGCCACTACCTGTAATACAAAGAAACTGAGTGGGTCAGGCTTGGGAGCCTGGTGAGCATATATGGTTTTCAATCCACAATAAATAATTATATTTAGTTCATCAACCAACAATAACCCGATTACCCATTCCCGTTATCCTCACTTTATGTCCCTAAAACAACTATCACAAGGGACCTAGTCTAAGGATTTTCATCGGGGTGGACATTACTGCGAAGGGGTTTCCTCCACAATAAATGTCCTAAAGGCAACCATGAGGGGGATGGAGTACACCGG